TTGATTGCATATTCTATTTCTTCTCTGATTATATCAGGCAATGTATCATCTGTATATTCGGTTGAGATTTCTTGTCTATCTTTGTCATCAAACAGTTGTGATATGTATTCTGTCCGTCGGTTCATTTTTTGTTGTAAATCTGTTATAATTATACCATCTGTATCTTTGATCTGTCCTGTCTGTGTTGTTCTTCTCCTTCCTGTCGTTTCTTTAATCTTTTTGGCAATGAGTCATAGTAATTTGATAGAAATGGACGAAAGATTTGTATTACAATGGAAATTAACTAGTGGTATGATTCTAAAGTATGTTATATTATGGTAGAAATTAATATTAAGGAAGAAAGGAATAAACTCTTACAACATACTGAAAAAATCCTAAAATTTGAACGTAGCTTATAGAAAGCAATTTAAGCATTTATACATGCCATTAGATCATTAAATTAATGTGTAGCACATTCATTGGACATGACATCGAACCAATAAAATCGTATCTAACCTTCTCTTTTAGTTAGCACGTTAAAATGCTACCATAGAATATCACGCGTCACGTAAAGATGTCCCATTTTACTTATGTCAACAAAACTTTTGACGTTTCTTTATTATTTTATTAATTACCAAAATGAAATTTGAAATTTTAGTAAGTTTGTGATAATTATTTTGCAGCTGATACTAGGAACTCCTTTTCATTATTAGTCTATATTACAAATTTACATAAATCCCATTCTTTTGTTAAAATAGTTTGGGATTAAAATATATTTTTACCGTTGCTTTTGTTCTTATAACAAATTATTGCAAAAGGTGATTCAATTTATTTACATCCAATGTACACTTTCTTTTAAATAACTATAACTTACGGTCTATTGTCTTTATGGGAGCTCCCGACATCGCCCAATAATTTTTTATTAGATTTTCGTTAAACCCGTACTATTTATGTTTAATATTGTGCCGAACATATTTAAGGGCATTTTTAAAGTTCAAAAATTTATAATGGAATATTAAAAAATGTAGGTTTTTACAAAAAATACGATTACAAAAAGCCTTAGCTATAAATTTGACAAAACATTTCATCCACATAAACGATCTGTTGAATGTTTTTATCTAATCAAATAAAATTGGTGGCTAATTTGTTTCTAAAACAAAATTGACTTGGACTTACTCAAGCTAGTTACCATGAGTTTCTTAATTCCCTGTAGATGCACCAAAAAGTTTCAATTTCATTTGAACTTGATGTCATAAATATCGTTCAATACTCCAGAACATTTGAAAAGTCCCGCTCTCTACACAAAACATTCACAGTGTACCCTGCAGTCCGGCTGGCGAAGTTGTCTCTTCGGAAAAGCTCTCCAAATCTCGGAACAGCGATACCAGTTACCTGCAGTCGCCGAAGTTGCGGAAAATCCCTCTGCAAGCGGCGCTGTCGTCGCTTATGAAGATTCTTCAGGTGAGGTCGTGGCGACAATAGGGGGCGTGAGGGTGGCTTGCAGGGCCGGGTTTTCCTGGGGCACGAGCAGGCTCGGCGGAGGAAAACCGAAGAGTTGAGATCACTGAATTCGGGGCCAGTAGCTGGAGGCGATGTCCGTCGTGGATTGGCTGGGGATTTGTACTGGGACCGACACGCCAGCTGATATCACACCTGCAACAAAAATGGAAATGTATTCGATGTTTTATTATTCATCAATAAAATAACGTAGTTTATGAGTTTTCTGTATACAGGGTAAATAGAAAATGATATTAATAATGTAATGTAATTCTGTAGAAAAGTTAACAAATACATTAATACAATAGTTACAGTTTGCACAAGTATACAGTTATACAATGAATTAATTTATCAGTTTATTTATCTGAAGTGAACTATTTAAAGTTATCCTAAAGTTGCAGGGCTTTTTTAATTGTGATATAGTAGTGAATCTGTCTATCACTGTCAAAGCTGACATGATTTTGCTGCAAGTATTTTTGTCTTCCTCAGATTTTTGTAACCGTTTGATTCCACGTTTTCATATATTTTATTATATTTATCAAAACTCTAGGTTATCTAATGTTGTTAAAGCATCGTATAGTAGCGGTTAATAAAATAATATCATCAAAGCGTGCCAAACAGAAAGAACATTACGAAAAAATATGTAGAAGTCATATATACAGAGTAAATCAATTCCATTCATCATAATGGATGAAACAAAAGATTCTTCTGGATGATATGTCATTAATGTGATTTATTGGTGTGTTATATAAGAAATTAAAATGTAAGACGTTTCTGATCGCTTCTCAAAAATTTAAAAAAACGGACGTTGACCAATATACAAGAGGAATACAAAAAATTGTGCTGGCTTAAATTGTTCCTGCTGAAAAGTTTATTATTTTTGTAACGAATGCTGGACTCTATAAAAAAAGATGACATATGTAGAAGAACAATATGGCTTTCATGCAGGCAGATCTTGTATGGACAACAGCTTTTTCTCTTCTTCTTCTCGTGCCACTCCTAGCGGAGATTGGAAATCATCATGGCCAGTGCGACTTTGTTAGCAGCGCGCCTAAAAAGTTCAATCGAACTACACCCGAACCATTCACGTAGATTACGAAGCCCCGATATTTTTCTTCTTCAAACACTTCTTTTGCCAATAATTTTGCCCTGCATGATGTTTCTTAAAAGTTCGTACTTTTCACCTCTCACAATGTGCCCCAAGTATTCCATTTTTCTAGTTTTTATCTCATGTAGAATTTCGCATCTTTTGTCTAAAGTTTGGAGTACTTGCGTGTTAGTGAGCTTTTCTCTAAAGCAGATTAAATATTAAAATTGGAAACAAATCAACTAGAGAAATTTCTATCAGTAAGGGTCTAAAGCAAAGCTGCTGCATAGCACCTACACTTTTCAAAATAGATCTGAATGAAACGCGCTCAGTGTGGAGAAAAAAATGCTGCAATATAGGCATCCCGATAGAAGACGAGAAATTGTACACGATACACTTCGCTGGCGACCAAGCCAATCTAGCTGAAGTTCAGAGTGATATAGACTATATGCTTAGTAAACTAGAAGAATAGTACACCAAGTGGGGCCTTAAAATGAATATACAAAAAACTGAGTACTTACTTGAGGTTGAAAAACCAGAAAGCATACAAATTGAAATGGGAATTAGAAAATCAACTGAAACCTTAAAATATTGGGGAATCCCAATAACATCAAAGGCAGGGAGTAACGAAGAAATACATCCTAGGATTGGCTCAAACAAGATCAGCCACTAGACAGCTACATGGGCTATTCTGGAATAATAAAATAACAAAAGAAAATACCTTGGAAAATGTCAGAAAATTTATATACCAAAAAAGATAAAAAACAGACTTCGTCCACCAGAAAACGAGGTAAACCGAGACGGTCATGAAAAAAGATGTTTAAGATGCTATTATTAAGAGGCGTAAACTAGAATATCTTGGACATATAATCAGAGGACCAAGATATGAGTTCCTTCGGCTAATTCTCAACGGTAACATCCAAGGAAAGAAATGGATAGGACGGAAGAAAACTCTCTTGGTTGGGGAATTTGCGGCAGTGGACAGGTTTGACAGCGGACCAATTGCTACACGTAGCGCAAGACCGAGAATCCGTTATAACAATATTATAAGCATGGTAGTCGCCGACGTTCCGTAGGGATATGGCACTCTAAGAAGAAGAAGATGCAATGTCCGCCAGACATTAAAAAACTGAAGATTTATTCGACAGTAAACGCTGGTAATTTGGAATGCCAGAATCGGCGCAAGTTGTAGAAGACTGGCCTAATATATATTGGCCTATTATATATATAATATATATATATATATATATATATATATATATATTATATATATACACCGAGCTATTTGATATATATATATATATATATATATATATATATATATATATATTATAAAGTATGTTCATATAGCCGAGCCTAGGCCGAGCGTATTAGGCCCAGCCTTTGGGGACGATAAATGTGTTGGAAACTAGTTTCTTCTGCAATCGGTTTTCAACCTAAATGGAACCAATGGTTCCGGATCAGTAGTATTTATTTAATCGAGCAGTATCGTGGTTTTACTATGTTGAGTTTCGACGAGGAGGACATGTTTGACTACTATAAGTACCGCAGAGTTCGTAGAGTTCATAGAAAGTATTGGGTCCATCCCAACTTTGAAGAATGCAAAATTTTGTCTATTTGTATAGTACGAGATCCCACTTCAAGGATCACTATGTTCATAACGTAGTTAGTCAAACTCACACAGATTTAAGCGGAGGAAAATATATTGATAACAGGTTGCGAGTCAAAAAGTGGTCGCAAATAGTTTTAATTCAATTAATCGTAATTAATTTTTAAACAGAATTCTCATTTATTTATTTTTTAAATCAAATATGCTACTTGATATGACCGGATATGACGTAAATGCATGCTTTTTTTATATTAAGTTAAAGATATTTCTTTTAATATGATGATATAAGGTTGCCTGAGAAAAAATGGTCGCAAATTAGGGTTGAAAGCTGTTAAAAACGCGAGGGATCAAATATTAAGTAAAAGGGAGCTAGCGCGCAATGCTACTGGTTTGACATGACTATGACTAGTGTTAGTTATGTGAGTTGTTAAAGTATGCGTCGATAGTGTTAATAATATACATATTATCACTTGTCAACAGTTGCGAACTAACTCCATTTTACTTAAACTTTAACACCTCGCGTTTTTAACAGGTGGCAACCCTAATTAACAACCATTTTTTAGGCATCTTGTATCATCATTAAAAATATAGCTTATTAAAAAATATTAGCTTAATAGAATAAGTAAATAATATTAAAAATATTTTTGAATGCGCCTGCCCAAAAATTCAAGCATACAAAAAATTTCTAATACATCCATAACCCTTTTTAACAAAATGAAGAATGTGCCTAGAAGCTGCCTTTTTATTTAAATTTTTTTCTGTAAATAAAGATTTAATAATAGTAAAATCTAAAGAACTACTAACACAGTTGGTGTACTTTACTAATTATCAATTTTTTACAACAACGTTAACTAAATTGTAAAAACACGGAGATTCTTTACTAGATTCTGTAAATATAATGCAAATATTTAGCGAAGATTATAATTTAGACAAACACGAATATAAGGACCTGATGATTTGCAAAACGTAGAGAATAATTGAAAAATGCGGGAAATACAAGAACGTGAAAGAATAATTTGAAGAAAAATAAATGTCAGAAACCGATGTTCTTGGATGATCAGGGCCAAAATAAATGTTCATGAGGTAAAACATGCAATCAAATAGTCTTTATTAACAGGAAAAACGGCAAAGAAGAATTAAGACCTCTCTCGGATAATATGTATTGAGCAAAAAAATAAAACTATAGGAAGATCACCAAGTTAAAATCTTAATAAAGTATCTAATAATTCGGAGAAGATATTATTAACCACATAAACACACACACACACACATAATTTATATATATATATATATATATATATATATATATATATATATATTATATATATATATATATATATATATATCGATTTTGATATTTGCCCTAACCGTCTTCCTGAATATCCCTGTATGTTGTAAAGTTCTCAAAGGCAGAACCTGTTCCCCTCATACGTGAAATTTACAATCGGCTTTCTCCTCGACGTGAGCAATATCGTCAGGGATCTTTTTATAGCATCTTATAACTTTTAAGTTTCTTGTACAATTTTTCCTTCAGCGCTTCGCCGTGTTTCCCGAGTCGGGAAGAAAATTGATGTTTTAAAGTGGATCTACATTTTCACCGACAGGAAATATGGAAAGTGATTGTTCTTGGACGAGACGTGGGAAAATAAAAGGGGAAGATTTAAATTTCGATTTTATTTTTATTCGAAAACGTTTCGGGCGAGGAGGATATGTGGTTGAATATATTCATATTTACTCCAAATTAATAAGTCGCTTATTAAGAGTTTAACTTGGTCGTCTTCTGATAGTTTAGTCTTTCGGTCAGTATATTATTTGAGACAGGTTCCTTATTCTTTTTGCTGTTTTATTATATGTTTTACCTCATTAACAGTTATTTTGTGCTGATCATCCAAGAACATCAGTTTCCGTCATGTATTTTTCTTCCAATGTTCTTCCGAATTGTTCTTCCATGTAATCTATTTCCTGAATTTTTCAATTATTCACCACTTACTGCAAATCAGGTTGTTATGTTAGTCTAGTATTAATTTAGAAAGCACCATAATCGTCTTAAAGAAATTTTGTTAAATAAAAACATAGACAGTGGATACATTATCTAACCTTCATTGAAAGTAAAATTGAAATTGAAAATAAACTGACTGAGGATATGCATATTTGTTGTGGAAATGGATGTAGATCGCCAAGGGTGTATTTTATCACCATTGTTGTTTAATTTATACAGTGAATCCAACTCAGAATTAGCGTTGGCCGAAGTCAATGAGTAGACAAGTAAGTAAGACATAAAAAAATTAATATCAATACTTATGAACAAGCGCATTGACAGTAAAATCATAAATATAGTGCAAACATTATATTGGAACCAAAGTGCCATAGTTCAAATTGATGGCAACACTCAGAAGAAATGAGGATCTGTAGAGGAGTTAGACAGGGATGTGTGTTATCACCACTTTTGTTTAACTTATATTCTGAAGAAATTTTCCAAAACACGCTCAATAATATCGAAGCGGGAGTCACCGTTAACGGAAAATTAATTAATAATTTAAGATATGCAGACGACACTGTGATCATAGCAACGAGTATAGAGGATCTACAACATCTTATCGAAAGCTTGAGTATAAATAGTGCTGAGATGGGAATTACTATAAACGCCAAAAAAACGAAGTACATGCTGATTACAAAAAGGCCACAAAATATACATCACCTATTGACAATAAATGGTAACGTGATAGAACAAGTAGAAAAATATCAGTATTTGGGAACTTTGATCAATGAAACCAATGATCATACTGTAGAAATAAACAGACGAATAGAGATTGCCAGATCAGCATTTATACGAATGAAGCCACTCCTAACGTACAAAAATCTAAATTTGGAGATCAGACTACGTACCATTTGCTGTTATATATTTTCAATATTATTATATGGAGCTGAGACTTGGACATAAAAAAAATGTAATTTAAAAAGAATCGAGGCCTTCGAACTCTGGTTATACCGCAGAGTCTTGAAAATATCATGGACTGATAGAATTACAAATAAAGAAGTACTGGAGAGGGTTGGTAAAGAAACAGAATTAATCACCACTATACAAACCAGAAAACTGGAATACCTAGGCCACGTGATGAGGGGACCAAAATATGAAATTTTGAGACTGATAATGCAGGGAAAGATTCAAGGAAGAAGATCTGTTGGCCGAAGGCAGAACTCATGGTTAAAGAATCTACGTCATTGGTACCAATGCAGATCGATTGATTTGTTTAGAGCAGCAAGTTCTAAAATAAAAATAGCCATTATGATTGCCAACCTCCGTAGGGAGACGGCACTCTAAGAAGAGAAGAAGAAGTCAATGAGGGCCTAATTATAAACGGTGAGCCACTTAATTCCATAAAATATGCTGACGATACCGACCTTCTGACGGGAACACTAAAGGAACTGCATCACTTTGCTCAACAACCAAATACACATTGCAACGATTATGGGCTAAAAATAAATGTGAATAAAACCAAGTTCATAGTATTTACAAACCACAAAACATCAAAATTCAGCTAGAACTAGATAATATAGAAATTGAGCTAACATTTTTGTATAAATACCTTGGAGCATAGATCACAGAAGATACAGATAATGCTCCGGATAAGAATGCTTCGATGCTATATTTTCTCCACCCTTTTGTATGGGGTTAAAGTTTGGATACAAAAACAGTCAAACAATAAAAACCTGAAAGCATCCGAAAGGTGGTGTTACTGACGTATTCTGAAAATATCGTTGATGGATAGCAAAACAAACGCACAAGTTCTCGAACAGCTAGGAAAGCAGTGTGAAGTTATAAATTTCATAAAAATCAGGAAGTTGGAATACTTGGGGCACATTATGAGAGATGAAAAATACGAATTTTTAAGGAGTATAATGCAGGGAAAAATCCAAGGCAGAAAAAGCGTCGAACACGTAAAATCTCGTGCCTACGCAATCGCCGTGAAGGATTTGAATGCATTTCAATTGAACTATTCAGTAGGATATCAAACAACGTTATAATTGCCAGAATGACTTGCTATTTCACATAGGAACAGAACTGGAAGAAGAAGAAGAAGAAGTATTGAATTATTTTTTTATGAAGCTTTTCGTCTGGTCATGGCGTTGATATTCTTATAAGGAATAAAAGGGTTATGTTTCTGTTATGGAGGTTCTATTTGTATTACATGGGGGGGGGGTTTGGTTGGGCACCGAAATGTTTTTATGCTACCTCCATCATTTTAAGTCCTTCAAATTTATGAATAACAGTATCGGAATAGGGTCCTGGGGAAGGGGTGTTAACATCCAAAAACCCCTCCCCCTGGAGGCGCCACTGGCTCTGTAGCCACAACTCTTTGGCTTCTTTCATCTTTTTGTAGATAATTCTCTTTATTTTATTCTTTATCTTCGATTCTTGATGAGGAAGAGGTAAAGGAAGCATTAAGGAAATTAAAAAAATAGAATAATTGATGGATTCGACCGTTACATAAAAAATTGTTACATAAACTGTTACATAAATTGTTATTATTAAAAAAATAGAAAATCACGAGGAAAGGAACCTGGTAAGGAGGACCAGATCTGACCAAACAACTATTAAAACTAATCCGAATAATAATAGAACAAAACAGAATTTATTAAAAATCGAGATCAAGCATCCGCATAGCTCTCTTCAAAAAGAGAGACAAATCGGACCCGGAAAATTACAGAGGAATTAATTTATTAAACCCAACACTAAAATTAACAACTAATGTGATAACAAATAAATTAAATGAAATTATAACACTAGCAGAAGAACAACAAGGTTTTAGGTAGGGAAGATCATGCACCGACGCTATATGTATAATGAGGCAAGTGCATTAGAATACAACAAACCGGCATATCTATGTTTCGTGGACCTTGCAAAGGCATTTGACCGGATCAAATTAAAAGACTTTATCCACTTACTGTATGCAAGAGAGATACATCTAGGAATAATCAAAACGATCGAAAATATCTACCAAAATAACAGAATAAAAGTAAAAGTAGACGAAGAACTAACCAACACTATTGAAGCTGACAATGTGATAAGACAGATAATAAAAAAATAAGAACTAAAAAAGGATACCAAATGGGAGAAAACCAACTTAAAATAATCTGCTGTGCAGACGACGGAATACTACTCTCTGAAAGTGAAGATGTTTTACAACGTATGCTGCACCAATTTAATATAACCGCCAGAAAATTTTTAACATGTTAATTTACCCCCCCCCCCCAAAAAAAAACAAAATGTTTGCTTACAACAGCAAGTTTACTAAGATGTAAATTTGAGCTGATGGAGTGGAGCTAAAGTGATGGAGTTTAAATATCTAGGTATCACATTATCTAGCTACGGAAAGCTCGAAACCGAAGTGGAAGATAAAGTAAATAGAGCAAACAGAGCCGCAGGCTGCCTAAATGAAACAATATGGAAAAATAAAAACATCGGGAAAGAAACAAAAGGCAGAATTTCCAAACCAGTCATCAGACCAATCATAACATACGCGGCAGGAACAAGACCTGACACAGAGAGGACAAAAAGGATGTTAGAAACAGCAGAGATGAAAACATTTAAAGAAATTGATGGTAAGACACTATGGGACAGAGCCAGAAGTACAGATATACGACATAGATGCAAGGTGGAGAACATAAAAAACTGGGTAAGAAATAGAAGAGTAGAATGGAACGATCATATAAGCCGAATGACAACAAATAGAGTAGTAAAGACGGCAAGGAGACGGTTCCCCAATAGGTAGACGGTCAGTAGGAAGACCACGAAAACGATGGAATGATAACTTACTGGAGGCACATTGAAGAACAGACAGAGTCATGTCTACATAATAAGAAGAACTAAAAGAAAATCTTTGAT